AGTTTATCTTATCTCATCTCATCTTATGTAATGTTATGTTATGTTATCTCTTCTCATCTCAGTCTCATCTCTTCTTATCTTATGTTGTCTCATCTCAGCTCATCTTATCTTATTTGAGGGACTCTTTCATCTGGGGAACAGGAGGGACATTTACACTGACAGCAAACTCTCTCACCGAATTTTGTTGAATTAAGATGGTCTTGAAAAATCAAAAATATATTTACTTTTCTGTATTTTCTGTTTAAATGAGTTTGTTTTATTGATTTTTATTTCAGTTTCCCCATCCATTTTCTATTGTGATATCACATTTATTTTATTGAATTTTAATAATATTATTTTTAATGTTTTGGCTTCTGTAAGTAACGCAGTAATCTCCCCTTTTGAGGGTGATGAATATATCTTATCTAACGATATCATTATTGAGAATATTATAAGTAAAGTAAAAGCATTAGAAAGATAGATATATAGTTTTCAATAATGTTTGACTATGAGATTGCGAACTGCAGGAACTCGGTGATGTGGTTTTGTTGGAAACTTCATGATAAGCAATTACACTTACAATAAGTGCATCATGACCTATTTCAGTGCTCCAGATGCAAAGCTTTACCGTTGTTGCATGGGTCTTGGGTATAAAATAAGTTCCTCTGACCTAGAAAAGAACATCCAACCTCAAAGCAACCCACTTGTAGCGGCCCACGTGAAGTCAGAGCACGGAGGTCTTCAGTGAAGCTTTCATCCTCTTTAAACTCTTATCTCCACTTGTATCTAAAGGTCACATACTTTATATCTATTTATAAATATATATATATATATATATAATTATTTTTATGTCTCTTTTAAGTTTATGTCAAGAGTCACAAAGAGGAATGACGCTTTATAAAACGTCCCATGTTGCACGGCTGGCTCTGTCTTATCAGGGTGTGTTGATGCAGGTCACACGGGTCACATGTCTAACATGTGTGACCTAATATGTCTCTTTTCAGTTTTCCTATAATTACAACTTCTAGTTTATATTTGGTCAACATATGACACAATGAGCACTGAATAATATAAAAAGCTTTTTCAAAAAGCTTCTGTATTTTGCTTTTATTTCAATTCAGTTCAGCGAGCAATATTTTTTAACCACACTCTTTTTTACGTGACAGTTTTAATAATTTTGTATTTTACAAATTTCTTTGTATAAATACAATATATAATATGATGCATAATTATTGTGCCCTACCCTAAATACAAGCAAAGTTGTAACAAGTTTAATTGATCGCTTATTTTATAGAAAGTACTTTTTAATTAGAAGGGTTTTTTTTTTCCTTGTGGTGGTTTTATGTAAGGTTTTACCATTTAAACGTTTCCACTCTTGGTTGGACAGAATTTTGGGTTCTATAAATAAAAAAAATTAGGGGGGTTTTCGTGACAGTCTAGCACCACTGATGTGGTCAGAGCTGAGGTATAAATGAAGCTCCTCAACAGTGCACCCCCTTTCACTCCACTTGAAGATAGGCGAGACAACTTTATCATCAGAATCACTGTTGTCAACTGAAACAAAGACATGGTGACAATCAAAGCCATGGTGATGGTGATCGCACTCACTATTTGTCTGACTGCGAACAGTTCTGACGGTATGTACTTGCTGCCTTTCTGTTTTTCATCTTTAATTTTAATTATTTATTACTATTATTTATTATTATATATTTTCTTTCCTTTTTCACAGGCTATCGTTACTGCTGTCGAAGATATATGACAGGCCGATTACGAGATGTTGAAATTAAGGGGTACTCAGTCCAGACTATTAAGGAGATGTGTCCCATTGATGCCATCATGTGAGCGTCACTAAAATCATTTTAAAGGTTAAAGACAGCTTCAATGATTACCGTGGGTGTATAAATATTTACATATTGCTTTCTTTTAATGCAGTTTCCACACAAAGAAGGGGAAAGCATGCGCCAATCCAGCTCTGAAGTGGGTGATGGACGCTGTTGATCGTTTAAGGTGAGATTTTTAGAAAGAAAATAATGAACAAATGTTCTGATTTGAAACAAACAGCAAGAGAAGTAACTCCATCTATCATCATTTTAGGAATAAAGC